TGCTGGGTATAGTAGTCTGGGCTGGCATCCATGGTCTCTTGGTGTCTGAATTACATCTGTCCAGGACCCTCTGGCTTTCAGAGTCTCCATTGAGAATTCAGGTGTTATTGTGATGGGTCTGCCTCTATAAGTCTTTTGTCCTTTTTCCTTTGCTGCTCTTAATACTCTTTCTTTATTCTGTATATTTAGTGGTTTGCTTACTATATGTTGAAGGGACTATTTTTGGCTATTTAGTCTATTTGGTGCTCTAAAAGCTTCTTGTATATTCATAGGTATTTTCTTTTTTAAGTTGGGAAAGTTTTCTTCCATGATCTTTTTTGGGGGGAGGGGAGAGAAATAAATCTTTTTTTTTAGAAGACATTGCCAGTTTTTTTTAATTTAATTTAATTTTATTTTATTTTTCTTTATGAAGAAATTTTCTATTCACTCCTCATGCTATCTACAGACCCCCCTTCTCTCTCCTCCAACACCTCAGCCCTCTTTCCCAAACCACCCCGCATCTCCGCATCCCCCAAGTCGAAGTCTTCCATGGGGAGTCAGCAGAGCCCAGCTCACTGAGCCCAGGCAGGTCCAAGCTCCTTCCCACTGCACCAAGGCTGTGCAAGGTGTCACACCACAGGCACCAGATTCCCAGAAGCCTGCCCATGCACCAGGGACAGATCCTGATCCCCCTGCCTTCAAACAGTTCAAACCAAACAACCCTCTTCTGTGTCTAGAGGGCCTAGTCCAATTGCATGGGAGCTCCACAGGCACCAGTGCACAGTTCATGAGTTTCCACCAGTGTGGTCCATCATCTCTGCACATCCTCCCATCATGATCTCGACATCCCTCACCTGCAGTATTTCTCCTCTCTCTCATCAATTGCATTCCCACATCTCTCTATCTGCCTCCATCAGTCACTGGACAAAGGCTCTATGATGACAGGTAGGTTATTTGCTAGGCTGGTCACCAGAGTAGACCAGTCCAGGCACCCTCTGGCCAATGCCAACAGACTGAGGGAGAGTCAACCTTGTGGATTCCTAAAAGCCTCCCCAGAACCCTGCCTCTTCCTATTCCCATGATGTCTTCATCTATCATGGTATCTTCCTCCCGGCCCTCCCACTCTCTCCCTGTTCCAGCTTGACCCTCCCATTTCCCTATGTTCCATCCCCCACTCCTCGCCCTCTGCCACCCCCCACACCCAGTCCACTCAAGTAGATATCATTGACTTCTCCTTCACAGGGTCATCCATGTGTCCCTCCTAGGGTCATTCCTGTTAGCTAGCCATCCCTTCCCTCCCATTTAGTATCCACTTATGAGTGAGTACATGCTATGTTTGTCCTTCTGAGTCTGGGTTACCTCACTCAAGATGACATTTTCTAGATCCATCCATTTGCCTGAAAATTTCATGATATCATTGTTTTTTTAATCACTGAGCAGTACTCCATTGTGCATATGTTCCACATTTTCTTTATCCATTCTTCAGTAGAAGGGCATCTAGGTTGTTTCCAGGTTCTTGTTATTATGAATAATGCTGATATGAACATAGTTGAGCATGTGTCCTTGTGGTAAGATTGAACATTCCTTGTGTATATGCCCAAGAGTGGTATAACTATGTCTTGAGGTAGATTGATTCCCAATTTTTTGAGAAACTGCCATACTGATTTCCAGAGTGGCTGTACAAGTTTGCATTCCCACAAACAGTGGAGGAGTGTTCCCCTTGCTCCACATAATCTCCAACATAAGGTGTCTTCAGTGCTTTTGATCTTAGCCATTCTGACAGGTAAAAGATGGTATTTCAGAGTTGTTTTGATTTACATTTCCCTGATGACTAAGGATGTTGAGCAATTCCTTAAATGTCTTTCAGCCATTTGAGATTCTTCTGTTGAGAATTCTGTTAAGCTCTCTATCCTATTTTTAACTGGATTTTTCAGTATTTTGATGTCTAGCTTTTTGAGTTCTTTATACATTTTGGAGATCAGCCCTCTGTCAGATGTGGGGTTGGTGAAGATCTTTTCCCACTCTGTAGCCTGTCGTTTTGACTTATTGACCATGTCCTTTGCACTACAAAAGCTTCTCAATTTCAGGAGGTCCCACTTATTAATTGTCACTCTCAGTGTCTGTGCTACTGGTGTTATATTTAGGAAGTGGTCTCCTGTGCCAATTCGTTCCAGACTACATCCTATTTTCTCTTCTCAAGTTCGGTGTAACTGGACTAATGTTGAGGTCTTTGATCCACTTGAACTTGAGTTTTGTGCATGGTGACAGATATGGATCTACTTGCAATCTTCTGCATGTTGATATCCAGTTATGCCAGCACCAATGTTGAAGATACTTTCTTTTTTCCATGGTACAGTTTTGGCTTCATTGTCAAAATCATATGTTCATAGGAGTGTGGATAAATGTCAGGGTCTTCAATTCGATTCCATTGGTCCACATGTCAGTTTTTATGCCAGTACCAAGCTGTTTTTTTATTTCTATACCTCTATAGTAGAGCTTGAGGTCAGGGATTATGATGCCTCCAGAGGCTGCTTTATTCTACAGGATGCTTTAACTATCCTAGGTGTTTTGTTTTTCCATATGAAGTTAAGTATTGCTCTTTCCAAGTCTGTGAAGAATTGTGTTGGGATTCTTATGGTGATAGCATTGAATCTGTATATTGCTTTTGGTAAGATTGCCATTTTTACTATGTTGATTCTATCTATCCATGAGCATGGGACATCTTTCCATTTTCTCATATCTTCTTCAATTTCTTTCTTCAGTGATTTAAAGATCTTATCATACAGGTCTTTAACTTGCTTAGTTAGAGTTACCCAAGTTATTTTATATTATTTGTGGCTATTGTAAAGGGTGATGTTTCTCTGATTTCTTTCTCAGCCCCTTTTTCATTTGTATGTAGGAGTGCTACTGTTTTTTTTTTTTAAGTTAACCTTATATCCTGCCACTTTACTGAAGGAGTTTATCAGCTGTAGGAATTCCCTGGTAGAATTTTTGGGGTCACTTATGTATACTATCATATTGTCTGCAAATAATGAAAGTTTGACTTCTTCCTTTCCAGTTTGTATCCCCTTGCTCTCCTTTTGTTGTCTTATTGCTATAGCCAGAATTCCAAGTACTATATTGAATAAGTAAAGAGAACATCCTTGTATTGTTCCTGATTTTAGTGGAATTGCTTTGAGTTTCTCTCTATTTGATTTGATGTTGGCTGTCAGCTTGCTGTAAATTGCCTTTATTATGTTTATGTATATTCCTTGCATTCCTGATCTCTCCAAGACCTTTATCATGAAGGGGTATTGGATTTGTCAAAGGCTTTTTCAGCATCAAATGAGATGATCATGTGTTTTTTTCTTTCAGTTTGTTTATATGGTGTATTACATTGACAGATTTTCATATGAGAACCATCCTTGCATCCCTTGGATAAAGCCTACTTGGTCAAGATGGATAATTGTTTTGATGTATTCTTGGAGTCTGTTTGCCAGTGTTTTATTGAGTATTTTTGCATCACTGTTCGTGAGGGTGATTGGTCTGTAGTTCTCTTTCTTTGTTGCATCTTTGTGTGGTTTGTGTGTCAGGGTAACTGTAGCCTCATAAAAATAATTTGGTAATGTTCCTTCTGTTTCTATGGTATGGAAAAATTTGAAGAGTATTGGTATTAGCCCTTCTTTGAAAATCTGGTAGAATTGTGCACTGAAACCATCTGGTCCTGGACTTGTTTTGGTTGGGAGACTTTTAATGGCCATTTCTATTTCCTTCGTGGTTATTGGTCTATTTAAACAGTTTATCTGGTCTTTATTTAACTTTGGTATGGAGTACCTATCCAGAAAATCGTCCATTTCTTTCAGATTTTCCAATTTTGTGGAGTACAGATTTTTGAAGTATGACCTGATGATTCTCTGGATTTTCTCATTGTCTGTTGCTATGTCTGCCTTTTCATTTCTGATTTTGATAATTTGGATTCTCTCTCTCTCTCTCTCTCTCTCTCTCTCTCTCTCTCTCTCTCTCTCTCTCTCTCTGCTTTTTGGTTAATTTGGATAAGGGCTTGCCTATCTTGTTGATTTTCTCAAAGAAACAACTCTTTGTTTCATTGATTCTTTATACTGTTCTCTTTGTTTCTATTTAATTGATTTGAGCCCTCAATTTGATTATTTCCTGGCATCTGTTTCTTCTGGGTGAGTTTCCTTCTTCTTGTTCTAGAGCTTTCAGGTATGCTGTTAAGTCACTAATGTGAGATTTCTTCAACTACTTTATGTGGGCATTTAGTGCTATGAATTTTCCTCTTAGCATTGCTTTCATGGTGTCCCATAAGTTTGGGAATGTTGCACATTCAGGTTCATTGAATTCTAGGAAATCTTTAATTTCTTTATTTATTACTTGACGCATTGGTGATTCAATTGAGCGTTATTCAGTTTCCATGAGATTGCATGCTTTCTGTAATTTTTGTTGTTATTGAAGTCTAACTTTAAAACATGGTGGTGTGATAAAACACAAGAGGTTATTTCATTTTTTTTGGTATCTGTTGACATTTTCTTTGTGACCAAGCATGTGGTCAATTTTGGGGAAGGTTCTATGGGGTGCTGAGACAAAGTTATATTCTTTTGTGTTAGGGTGGAATATTCTGTAGATATCTATTAAGTCTATTTGAGTCATAATGTCTGTTAGTTCCCTTATTTCTCTGTTAAGTTTCTGTCTGGCAGACCTGTCCATTGGTGAAAGTGGGGTGATAAAGTCTCCCACTACTAGTGTATGGGGTTTGATGTGCGATTTAAGCACTATGCAACCTATTTCTAGGAGTCATTTTTACTTTTGCTGTTTATTTAGCATATCCTTTAAAGTTTGATTGGATATTTCTATGACTGCTTTGCCAGTGGAATTGTGTGGTATATTTGTGACATGCTTTATATTGTAATAAGCAAAAAACTATACCATTTTATTGGGGACATATGCTGGGGCATTGTCTGTCTTAATTTGTACAGGTATTCCCATGATGGCCATAACTTCTAGTAGGTTTGTAGTCACAGAATCAGCCTTTTCAGAACTCATAGGAGTTGCCCACTGAAATCCTGAATAGGTGTCAATGGTATGATGTACATACTTTAATCTTCCAAATTCTGCAAAATAAAACACATCCATCTGTCAAATTTCATTTCTTTGTATACCTTTTGGATTGCTCCCTGCAGGTAATGGAGTTTGGTTATAGAAGGAACAAGTAGGACATTTTTTTTGCAATATCCTTAGCTTTTTGCCAAGTGATGGAGAAATCTTTCTTCAAACCTTTACTATTTACATGGTGTTTCTTATGAAATTCTGAGGCTTCTATCATATTACCCATTACCTATTAGTAACTGATCAATCTCATCATTACCTTGTGCTGGAGATCCTGGCAGACATGTATGGGATCTGATATGTGAGATATATATATATATATATATATATATATATATATATATATATATATATGGGATATTCCCTATTTCTGGTGATTTCCTGATATTGTATGAATAATGAAGTTAATTCTGTATTATCAGTAATAAATTCAGCAGTTTCAATATGTAAAACAACTATCCCTGCATATTGAGAGTCAGTGACTATATTGAGGGGTCCTGTGAAGTCCATCTGTACCATAAGAATGGCATATAGTTCTGCCTTTTGTACAGAGCAGTATGGATTTGAACCACTTTACTTAAGTCTACTGATTTGTATCCTGCTTTTGCTGATTTATTTGTATCAGTATAAAATGTGTGGACTTCAGAATTTGGCTTTTGTCTTACAATGTGAGGAAAGACCCATTCAGTCTTCTTTATGAATACTATTCTCTTGATTTTGGAATAACGGTTATTAATCTCTCCCAAAAAGTTACTGCAGGCTCTCTGTCAGTATTCATTATCTTTCGATAGTGATGAAATTCCCTCATTAGCTAAAGGTTCTACAGTTTCTGTTGGGTCCATTCCTGTCAACTGGTGATGGCTTAATTTACCTTTTGAATCAAATCAGAGATATTTTCTATATGTCTTTAACTTCCTATTTGGTTTACATGGTAGAAATATCCATTACAATATAATATCTTCCCTCTGCATCAAAATACCTGTAGGGGAATGTGTAGAGGGAAGTATGACAAGAATACATTTTAGTTTTTTACACGATCCACATGTGCTTCTCGAATTGTCTTTTCTACTAGAGCCAGTTCCTTCTCAGCTCCAGGATAACAATACTACCTACTTCTACAACCAATATACATTAACACAGGTGAGTATTGACTCTAGGCCTTAACCATGCTAGGGATCCAGATTCCTAGACACACTCTTACCTGTTTATATGACTTTATTGACTTTGAATCTCATGACCCTAACTATCCCTAAGTCAAACTGAATTACTACTGCCTCCAGAAAATATTGTAAGTTCTCCTTGCTCACAGCCATGTAATCATTTTTCCTTTGCTAGAAACTCCACTGCATTATCTAACCCTTTAGGTACATGTCACAGAAGGGTTATGTTCTCGCTATTTTGCTCATGTCTTGGCTTCTTTTTCCATTGTATTAGATTCCTAGGGCACAAGAGGTGTTTCTGTCACCATTGTTTCCCCTGTAAATGGCTTAGCACAACTTCTGGCACATCGTAGGTGTTCCATGGTAATGTTTGGATATAAATGAATAGTGAAACATTCTCAATAATGTCTAATCTATGACATACTAGGTTAAACCATGGGAATGGATCAGTAGCTAACTTCTGATTCTCAAAACAAACTGTAAACACTAAATAATGTACAAGTAGAAAAAAGTCAGACCACACTGAAGCCTATATCAGTCTGTGGTGTTTCTATGAAAGGAGGACACATCCTACCTAGTCTAGAATGTTTTAAAGAGTCAAGGAAGATTTAAGAATGTCGAATAGGGTCCAAATTCAGAAGGAGGAAAATGTATCCTATCACATTCAGTAAACTACCTTCAAAAACATAATTTTACATCCCCATCCTAAACTAACTCTTTCAGGTAAAGAGTTCTCCAATATATTCCTTCTAAAACAGAAAGAAGCTCCCAGTCATCTTTGAAAGGGCTCCATCTTCATTCCTGTCCTCTCTTGAAATGTCAATTTAATTTTTGAAGACTACTACTCATTTTCTCATAATAAGCCAGTATGTTCTTATAGTAGAATATTGTTTTAAGGTGTGTTATTTTTGTTATTTTGGTTATGTTGCATTTGTTGAACTCTGTGAAGCTGTTTTACTGTCCTGCTTAAAACACCTGATGGTCTAATAAAGAACTGAATGGCCAATAGCAAGACAGGAGAATGGATAGGCAGGCCTGGCAGGTAGAGAGTATACAGAAGGAGAAAACTAGGAGGAGAGATCTAGGAGCTGGGGAAGGAGGACTCCAGGGGCCAGCCACACAACTACACAGCAAACCACAAAGAGTAAGATTTATTGAAGAAAAGGAAGAAGCCCATAGACAAAAGGTAGATGGGATAATTTAAGTTAAGAGAAGCTGACTAAAAACTAAGCCAAGGTAAGGCCAGGCATTCTAAGAATAAGCCTCTGTGAGTGGCTTACTTGGGACCTGGGTGGAAGGCCCCCTAAAAAGAGTAAAAAGTAAAAAACAACCTGTTCTTCTCTTGTTTTCTATAGCTATGTGTTGGATGAATGAGAATGGTTCCCATAGGCTCATATAATTGAATACTTTGACCCCAGTTGTTGGAACTGTGTAGGAAGGATTAGGAGATCTGACCTTGCAGGAAGAGGTGCATCACTGGGTGTGCTCCCCCTGCCTCTGCCTTGTACTTGTAGATAAGGATTGAATATCTCAGCTACTGCTCCAGCTCCATGCTTACTTACTTACATGCTGCTATACACCCTGCTATAATAATCACAAATTCAACCTCTGAAACTGAAAACCACCATTAAAGTCTTCCTTCTATAAGTTACCTTGGTCATAGTGTCTCTTCAGAGCAATAGAAAAGTAACTAAGATAAGCACTCTGAACTGAAGGAGCTTTCTGAAGAGATTAAAATAATTTTTTTTCTGTGTTCTCATAAATAAATCAATGGCCTTTTGGAGAATGAAGAGAAGTTCTGAAGAGAAGAAAGGAGAAAAGGAAGAAAATGCAGAAGAGGGCACTAGGAAACTGCATTTCTCCTCTACCTTTGAAAGTACTTTTCCTTCCCAGGCCTTCTTGCAGATTATAACAAAGAATATACAAATTGACCTCAAAAATGGCTCCCAATACGATCTCTTAATAGTAAGTTACTCTTTCTCTTCTAGGATCCTAAAGCAAGGAAGAAGGGAAACTTGGAAGCAAAGAAGAAGCAACTTCGAAGTGAGGTGGAAGGGTGAGAAGGAGAGAGGACAATCTTCAAGATCTACCCTGAATTTTCAATGATATGTCATATGGTTCCATCTCCAACAGCAGGTTGTATGAAAAAAATATCACCTGTGCTTTCTAAGGAGGAAAGATCAAGGCAAGGGACTACCTGCAAAACACTATGCTCCTTTTTAATTTTTTTCTCCCCTTATGAAATGATTATAGTTAAATTATGAATGCTTTGCTTTTTCCAGTGTTACAGATATAGTGGGATGACAATTATTTCCAGTGTGTCGAATCCCTCTTCCACTCCTGGATGAGTTTGCCAAGGCAGTAAAACAGGAGAGCTTCAGCCAACAAAACATTAGTTAGGTAAACACCCCCTTTCATATGCCCTCCCCCAGTAATAAAAACATGAATAGAGTTTGTACTCCTTTCCACATCAAGTGACATTATCTAAGACAGGATACAAGAAGAGGCTTCAAGACCTCAGCAGATGCTTAGAAACACTCCATAAAACTTTATGTATACAGGCTCTGTGAAGAATTTTTCTGCAGAAGGAGGTCTATTTTTCTGCATAAGTAGCTTCATTTCAGGTCCAAGACCCAAAAGAAATTAGAGAAGACAGGAAATCCTTCAAGAGTTTCTCTCCAACATCCAGTAGGAATTTAGTGTTCATTTCTTTATCATTGTGAATATGAAATTTGACTGAAGAGAAGAAATGAAGGAAAGAATTTGAGGTATAATTTCTATGTGAAGTAAGTAAATCAAAAGAAGCATTAGTATGAAGCCAGAATTCAATCTTATTTTTGCCTCTTGCTAGCTGTATGACCTTGGTCAGTTTCTTCCCCCTCACTAAGCCTCACTGCATATGCCTGTACAGTAGACATAATACCAATACAGTTGTCATTAAAGGCTGTGACAAACAGTACTACAGTGAACTGCCACATGGCAAGGATTGGGTAAATGCTATTTTCCTTTCCTTTTTTCTAATTACAAAGCAACCTTAGAACCTCAACTCTGAATTATTTATTGTTCCTATATTTTAGCCAAAATTTATGGAGTGCTTAATACATGCCAAGCACTGTCCTAAGAAATGTACATGTATTAATTCATTTACTCACCACAATGATGAGAGGAGTGATTTTTTTCAGGCCTAAGGAGCAGGAAGGGGGAAAGCACAGCATTAGACACAATGACTCATAAAGGAGATTATTATCTCTATTTTCCAAGTAACAAAAGAAAGGCAGGCACTGGAAACCTACCCAGCTAATCAGAAGTAAGCTAGGATACTAAACTCAACTGGGCCCAAAACAATTATAAGCTCATGTTGGTTAGCATTAAGTATTTATAAACCTCAGTTTCCCCTAACCTTCTTAGAGGAAGGACCCCAAACTTATCCCTATCTCCAATTGACACATGCCTTTAATCCCAGTACCAACCATAGAGACCCGGAGGTCTGTATAGACATACAGTAATGAGGAAGTTATGTGGCTAGGCTTAGAGCCAATGAGAAGGCAGAACAGGAAGGCAATAAAGGTGCAGGTTTGACAGGAAGTGGTTCTCTTGGGAAGCTACGGCAACATGGTGAGCTAAGGTAGTTGGCAGCTATTACTCTGATCTCTATGGCTTGCACCCTGTATTTGGCCCTGTGTTTCTTATTTAATAAGAACATTTAGAAATTCATCTATAATATGCTTTCTCTTTCAATACTTGGAAACACTCACTGTTCTCTGAATTATCCCAGTACATGCCCAGCCAAAGTACCACATTGCCTTTCCTGCTTCATGAGCACTTGAAGGGTACCTTCTCATCTTTCAACTCAGCTGACTCTGAGCCTTTGTTGGCTAGCACTGACCCTGAGAGGAGAGAGAACCCTGACATTTCCCTCTTTTGAGTCCTTGGAGTATATCCTGAACAGAATTGGGAGGGTTGTAAGTCTAAAATGTTCTATGGGGTTGACATCTTCCTAACTAGATTCTAAGTTCCAAAAAAACAAACTACACAATAAATATTTGTTGACACGATGAATGAATGAGTGAATAAAGATAGAGAGAGCATGAACCAAAAGGTATGTCCATGGCAATAATCAGTGCTGTGGACTTCAGAGTTATTCATGAAGTGAAGCTGTGAGGACTTGGCAACTGACTTATTTATATAAGAATATAAGTATCATGGAAAGTCATATTTCTCTTATTCATAGTTTTACCCTGTCTTATTATATTACTAACTGGTATGTAATTGGTGCTTAATAAATATTTATATGATATACTAATTCCACTGATCCAGGAACTTCTGACTTGGATTTGTCTCTGAATATACTCTTCCAGAAGCTAAGCCTCTAACCATGATAATTCTCAATGACTTTTGTCATCTTCTTGTTTAGCTACACTATTGAAATCTAGGTGTTAGATAATCTCTCTTGGAATTTTTCTGTAGTATATACCTAAGCTGGGAATAATCTGTGTGGGGGTGGGGGTTATAACTTGCTTTCACATGTGCAGCTGCTTTGTGTGCAAATGACACAGATGAGTCTGCAGCAGGAAGCTCGGAGTACTATCTCTCAGAGAAAGAGGGAATATAGCAGAAGGGTTAATCCTTGGAATAACCAAAGAACTTGCTATTCCTCTGCTGAGAATGTGAACAGGCAGATCTACCTGACTTTCTTTTAAGTACCAGTCAAAAATATGGGCTTTGCAGAAAAATCTTAAACTCCAAAGAAACTCAGCAGGTAGACAGAACTGTAAAATATTTCCTCTGGGTTATCTTTAGGAACACTGGCATTTGGGATGATGTAGAAAAGAAGAGAATTTCAGTCTTCAATACAAGCTCCTAGCAGGGCTTCACCGGGAGAAGATATCTTCCCTAATCCCACCCATCCTCACTCCTAGCCTCATCTACTGATGAGGTCCCAGAAGGCAAATACTGATTGACTGGGACAAAGGGTAGGTAAGAGTAATTCCTCCTCAAGTTCCATGGCCGTATACACCCACAGCCTCTGCTGTAAGGCAAAGTTATAGACACAAGGGACACATCACCTCTGGAGAGAGCAATAGCCTGAACAAAGGCACTAAAACTAAAATGCTTAGAGATTTCCCCAGACTACACTGAGACCTTGTCTATGTATATGGAGGTACACGAAAGCCAAGAATCAGGAACACATGAATGAGAACATGGGAACCAGATTGGGGAATTCTTTGAATGAAACCTTTAAATTCTTGGGTTATATCCTAATGTCAATTTGAACTACATCTTTAGTTCATGAAAGGTTAGTAAGAGGTGATGTGATCAGCTCTCAATCTGCAATCACTCTGTTTCAGTGTGTGTAACAGACTAAATGGACAAAAGATTCAAGGGCAAGGTGACAAGAGATTTAGAATATATGGCAATTGACATGGGGGAAAGTAGGTAATTCAGAACAAAATTAAAGGACAGAGTTAGCAGAAGTAGAACAGAACTGTGGGATGTAGAACAGACCTAGATGTCAAGGAGAGGATGGAGAGATGGAGAATATGTATAGAAATGGAAGGAAAGTCAAAATCAAAAGGTGACTCAGGCTGTGCAGAACAATGAACAGAAGATCCACAGAATAGTGTTTAAGTGACTCCAGGAGATTGGCAAGACAGAGAATTAGAGTCCTAACTTGACCAGATAAACTGTAGGTCTCTGCAACCAGCATAGTGGAAATACCTAACAGATTGCTGGGAAGAGAGGTCAATAATGGTGACAGTGACATGACAAAAGCCAACTCTTGAGCTAGTCCAGAACTCTGAGTGATCAAGAGCACAGAAGATGAGACAAAAGGGATAATCCTGGTCTGCAACTTGCTTCATGCTCTGCAGCCTCCTGTCAATAAATTCTCACAAACTCAGATCTAACTCACCTACAAATGACTTAAATGCAGTGTATTTAACTGTTAGGAATATAATATGCTTATACAACCATTTCTTTCATCAGTACATTCCAGTTCCCACTTCAGAACTAACTGTCTCTACTAATTAAATACATTTATTTTAACTGCAGAAGCATTTATTTCCATAAATAAGGACATGTTCATTATCTTCAGAGTGAAATTAACCCCAGAATGCTAATATATACATTCATCTGCCTCAATATATATTACCTAAGAAAGCCTGGTTGTGCTACCAACAATTATAAAACACTGCTCAATGCACTCTTGACACCTAGATCTACATCCTTCTTGTTATTATCTCACATAAACCATGTGGCTGATGTGGAAAGTGGAATTTAACTATCATCAGACTCATCTCAAACTAAGAAGACTAGAGATCCACAATTCACTAACATGCACCAATATAATTCAAGGACATTTTTTTCTGACTGAGGAAGTAAATGTCTACAATTACCCTGAGGAATTTTGCTCCTGTTCTATGAGAATTGACACCTCAATTCTCTTGTCACTGACATATATATATATATATATCCATCTTGTTAAATAAGAAACACACAGCCAATTGCAAAGTTAAAAAGCCCAAGATGTCAGAGCAAAAGTTAAGAACTAAAAACCCTTACTCTTCACTGTTGCTGCTGTCCTAAGCAAGAGAGCTACTTCCTGTCTGTTTGTCTTTTTTATACACTTTCTATTCTGCCTTCTCATTGGTTGTAAACCCAACCACACGACCTCCTAGTCACTGCCCATCTATACAGACTTCCAGGTGTTCTATGGTTGGTATTGAGATTAAAGGCGTGTGTCTCCATGCAGGCTGTATCCTTGAACACACAGAGATCTGCCTAGCTCTGCCTCATAAGAGCTGGATTAAAGGCATGCACCACCACCGCCCAGCTTCTGCTATGGCTTGCTAATAGCTCTGGCCCCAGGCAACTTTATTTATTAACATACAAATAAAATCACATTTCAGTACAAATAAAATATCACTATATTTCCCCTTTTCTATTTTAATAAAAGAAAAAAGGAAAGTTGTAACTAATATAAGAAAAACTATATACAAAAGTACAATGACTATATACCATATATACAAGCAATAAATACCTAAACAATGTCTAGTCCATATCTTTTTGACAAATTCAGAGAAAATAATTCCATTATCTATCCTATTTTGGTAAGTTCAAAATGTAACTAATTCATTTTCTATCCTAAATAATCTTCAACTATAACTAACTAATCTTTAACTATAACTAACTAAACTTCAACTCCCTCAGAGACCCAAGAAGTAAATAGTATTACCTAATGAAAATAAAAACAGGAAGTACATGCAAGCAACTTCCAAAAAATATGTGAGTTGACAGAAACAGCCAGCTACCTGGACAATCACCTGAGGTTTCTCCACAGTGTTGGGGCATCATCTTCAGCCTATAGGCTTAGCGTATGTGACAAAATCATTTGTGAACTAGGATGTACACAAGGTCAACAGTGTGACCTCACATTGCATGAGCAGTCCATGTACCAGAAACACCTAAATTTCACTAATGTCATGCCATGATTAAGGTTTTTAAATTCTGGAAATTGTTGATTTTTTTAATTCAGCTATCTATTTTTCTTGGCTGTGTGTGTGTGTGTGTGTGTGTGTGTTTGTGTTTGTGTGTGTGTGTGTGGCTTTATTTTGGCATCCCATTCTTCTCCTCATCCCTCTATTAAATGTCAGTCTACTATTGAGAGGTGTGAGTTTAGTTAAGCTTCAAGAATAACTGTTTCAGCTGCTGTTTCACTGCACATCAGAAGTCATCGGCCCACTGCCTGCTCAGCTGCCTTTGAAGAAAAGGGCACAGTACCTTTTCGAGCTTGCAAAGGCCACTTCAGGAATGGGGCCATATTGTCCTGGCCTCAGAAGATGCCTTTTGATAAAGCCATAACCACACTTGTTTTGGCAAGAATCAGTAGTCCTTTGTTTCGTGTCCTGTCTGTCCATTTTGCCTGTTTGTCAGTAGTCGATTTGAGGATACTTTGTTGTCCAGTGGCTAACTTTTGCCACAATGAAAGTTAACTCCATATGCAGTTTCTTCAATGGCCATATTTTCTCTGAGGTAGATTGGTACTGTCAGATGACATGTCTCATAGTCATAACAAAAAAAGAAAAATTTTATGAGTTATTAAAACATTGTAAATGCCATATTCTGTAGATCTCTGAAGGCTTTGAAGATAACCTGTCTATCTAAAATATATCTGCTCAATCTTGA